GATTTACAATATTATGAGAAGGGGGATTTAACTATAAATAGGACAATTAAAAGAAACCTTACGGGCTGAAGAGGACCCTACTCAAACAAGCTTACAGTCTATAGGAAGTGGGGTATAAAACACATTAGGACAGGAAATAGCAATCAAATAAGGTTGGAGTGAAGCATACCTGGAGGAGATAGTAGAGTACTGCCCTTTAGGAGAGAGCAAGAGACAGGAATGGAGCATTTTAGTTACGAAGAAAGGTTAAAAAATGTAAATCTCTTTAGTTTGGAAAAACGGCGCCTTAGAAGGGATATGATAATATTAAACAAATATATTCGGGGCCAGTACAAACCATTATCTGGAAATCGATTCATAAACAGGGCTATACTCCATTCATTCCAATGTACTTACCCGATCGCCGCCATTCCCCCGCTGGTGATCTGTCTTTTTCTTTATTGGGGGGACAGTGCCCCCTCTGCAAATTAGGACCCCAGGGGCCATGTGATAGCTCTGAAAGAGCAGTCACATGGCCGCAATAGGTATCCATAGTTCTGCCAGCAGGAGGACTGCCTGAAATGACAGGTGAAAAAAGTTTTTAAAAAGTTTTCAAATAAAAAAATAAAGTTAATAAAAAAAAAAATAATACAAATTATTTATATATATATATATGTATATATGAGATATATACATATATATATATATATAAATAGGCAGAAAATGGCCAGCACTCACGGTTTCAGGTAAAAGTTAAAATTCAGAAATTTATTAGAACATCTTTAAAAATGTAGCAGCTCGACGTTTCAGTCCTCCTCCGGGACTTTCATCAGGAATACTAACCACATACATATCAATAAATCGTTTAAATACCGGGCAGATAATTGGAAAAAGTCATTAAAAAGTAAACTTACCCCAGCTGTGCACCCATCACCGACTATCGCTCGCGTCCCCAAACACAGAGTGCGCATGCGCGTGCGTACCCCACCACGTGATCACGTACCGTCCGTTGCCATGGGAGCCGGATACACACACCAGTCCGGTCACCCTGGCAACCTAAAAACGGTAACCATATATTGAAAACTTTATTAGTATGTGCAAGTGAACATGAACACCATATTCAGTGTATTGAGCTGATCAGAGGATCCATATTATAAAGCCATAAATCCATACATCATATATATTATATATATCAACACCTATAAATTTTAAATATAAAGTCAGATCTTTTACTGACAGTAATAAAGGTGATATGTGCAAAACATATCACCTTTATTACTGTCAGTAAAAGATCTGACTTTATATTTAAAATTTATAGGTGTTGATATATATAATATATATGATGTATGGATTTATGGCTTTATAATATGGATCCTCTGATCAGCTCAATACACTGAATATGGTGTTCATGTTCACTTGCACATACTAATAAAGTTTTCAATATATGGTTACCGTTTTTAGGTTGCCAGGGTGACCGGACTGGTGTGTGTATCCGGCTCCCATGGCAACGGACGGTACGTGATCACGTGGTGGGGTACGCACGCGCATGCGCACTCTGTGTTTGGGGACGCGAGCGATAGTCGGTGATGGGTGCACAGCTGGGGTAAGTTTACTTTTTAATGACTTTTTCCAATTATCTGCCCGGTATTTAAACGATTTATTGATATGTATGTGGTTAGTATTCCTGATGAAAGTCCCGGAGGAGGACTGAAACGTCGAGCTGCTACATTTTTAAAGATGTTCTAATAAATTTCTGAATTTTAACTTTTACCTGAAACCGTGAGTGCTGGCCATTTTCTGCCTATTTATATCTCCATTTACCCTGGATTACAAGCACCCGGATATTATTACTGTTTGGTCAGTGTGCAAGGATTAAGAGTTCTTTTTATATATATATATATATATATATATAAATATATACATATATTATATCTATACATATATTATATCTGTATATAATATGCATATATATTTTATATATAACGTCATACTAAGTGTATTTTTTTTATTAATATAAAAATACACCTAAAGTACAATTACACTTGTGTATATAATATACATAATAACTATATATATATATATATATATTTATATATATATATTATAAAAAATAATAATAATTAATTGAAAAAAAATAAAAAAAAATGTAAAAATGAATTAAAAAATTATATATAATTTTATTCTAACTGTATTTTGATAATATTATTTATTTATAAAATATTTTACCAGGAAAGATACATTGAGAGTTCTATCATTTTCAAGTATGTTCTGGGTCCACAAATCATTGCATTGTTACATTAGGGTACAATAAAATACAAAAACAATATTAATACACAATATATACAAAATTTAACATAGAACAGGTAGGAAATATATAATCAACCATGACACGTGCATTCTGTTTTGAGGTATGTAGAGAGGGATCTTTTAAAGGACTTTAGGCTTAGGGAAGATTTTAAATTGTGCAGGAGGTTGTTCCACAATTGCGGTGCTCTGTAGGCGAAGGAGGATCAGGCTGCTTTATTTTTGTATTGAGGTAGACTAAATAAAGTGCTGGTACTGGATCGGATGTTATAGGAGGTGGGAACAGCTGAGGAGAGCATTTTGTTCAGGTAGGGTGGGAGTTTACCAGAAAAGCTCTTAAACACAAGGCTGGAAAGATGAAGGGTGCGTCTGGATTCCAGTGACAGCCAATTTAGTTCTTTTAGCATGTCACAATGGTGGGTCTTGTAATAACATTGTAGCAAAAATCGTCAGAATGAGTTATACAATGTATTGAGTTTATTAATGTGGGATTGCGATGCAGATGCATGCACTACATCCCCATAATCAATGATTGGCATCCACATTTGCTGTACAATCTTTTCCTTTACTGTATGGCTTAAGCAGGATTTGTTTCTGTACAGGGCACCTAGTTTTGGATAAAGTTTAGATGTAAGTTTTTCTATGTGGAGGCCAAAAGATAGATTTGGGTCTAACATCATACCCAAGTATTTAAAAGAGTGGACTGCAGTCAGTGTGCCATTTGAATTTCTTTTGATGGATAGGTGTGAATTGTGTAATTTGTGTAATTTAGGTACTATTCCAAAGATCATTGTGACAGTTTTGTCAGTGTTTAGAAAGAGTTTGTTTTTTGCGATCCACTTTTCTACCTCTGTAAACTGGTCTTGCAGCACAGCCTCAAGCTGCGTTAGATTGGATTTGCGTGCATAGATTACTGTGTCATCTCCGTACATGTGTACATTTGAGGATTGGCAGACATTAGGCAGATCATTTATAAATAATGTAAATAGTAGGGGGCCGAGAATGGAACCTTGGGGAACACCACACGTGACTGGGAGAGGGAGGGAGTCGCTGTCAGAAATGGACACATACTGTGAGCGATCCGATATATATGATCGAAACCAGGTTAGCGAACAATCACCAATACCTGAGTTTTTGAGTTTGTGCAGTAGAATGTCATGGTGTACTGTGTCAAAGGCCTTTGCAAAATCAAGGAAAATAGCTCCGGTTAGGATGTCATTGCAAACTTTTAATAGGGCAGTTGTAGTGGAATGATTCTGGCGAAAGCCCGATTGATCAGGGGTCAGATAGTTTGATTGTTGGTAGTAGTCACATAGTTGCGTATGGATACATTTTTCTACGATTTTTGACAATACCGGGAGCAATGATATTGGGCGATAGTTAGAAACCAAAGTAGTGTTACCACTTTTATGGATAGGCACTACTCACACAGTCTTCCAAATTTGGGGTATGTATCCAGACACCAAGGATTCGTTAATTAGGGTTGCGACGGGTTTAGCAATTGCCGGCGCACTGAGCTTCAACAGCATTGCTGGGATTTGATCAGGTCCAGATTGGTTTTTCATCTTTAGATTATTTAGCTGTTTTTTAATGACACTAATAGGTACAGGTCTAAAAATTTACTTGTCTATATTGGGCCTTTGTAAATTTAGTGGTGCCTGACCCACATTTGTAGTTTCAGGATGCGGGTCATTTATTAGCTTGGCAATCAGGGCAGTAGAGCATCCGACAAAATAATTGTTAAAGGCATTTGCTACATTTGCTAAGGGAAGTTGCAGGGTTTGGTTATCCACTTTGACAGTGGAGGGTTGGGAGTGGATTGGGGGAGTTTGTAATTTATATATGACTTTCCAAAACTTTCTAGGGTTTGATAGGTTATTGTTCAGATTTTCACAGAAATATTGGGCCTTGGACAGTTTTGTTTGTTTTGTGCATATATTTCGCCATTGTCTATATGCACAGTGATCATTCATAGAGCCAGTATGCTTGAACTTTGACCACAAAGAATACCAAAACTGGTACATTTTGATGAGATCAGCTGTGATCCAGTTCATATGTGCTCCTTTTACCCTTACCTTACGCAGCGGGGCATGCAAATTCCAAATTTGTAAGAGTTCAGACTGAAAGAATTCAACAGCACAGTCTAGATCTGGGATAATGTTTAATCTGTGCCATGGGAGGTTCTTGATGTCATTAAGAAAGGATTTGAGATTACATTTTTTGAAGGACCTGGTGATTTTAACCTTGGGAGAGGATTTAATAGCCTTTATTTTGTGCACGCAGTACACTAAATAGTGATCACTGAAACTGTTTGGGAGAACACCGGCCTCTTGGATTCTATCAGGAAAAGTGAAGAGAATCCAGTTGAGCAGGGTATGGTTATGGCTTTTAATGTTTTTGCAAGTTGGGGAGGAGATTAATTGCGTTAGCTGCAAAGTCTTAAACAGCGTGCAAGAACTATTATTTTTAGGATTCAGCCAATCAATATTAAAATCTCTAAAGACCAACAGTTCCCTTTTTGTTTTTTGAGCTATGGTTTCACTAAGGAAATGGGAGTGTTTCAAAACAGTAAAACATATCGCAGCGATGATATTGTCAGTAGTGATGTCCCGAACGGTTCGCGAACGGTTCGCGAACGGTTTGCCACAACGGTTCGCCACAGACTCATCATTGAGTAAACTTTGACCCTGTACCTCACAGTCAGCAGACACATTCCAGCCAATCAGCAGCAGACCCTCCCTCCCAGACCCTCCCACCTCCTGGACAGCATCCATTTTGAAGCTGCATTCTTAGTGAGCTGTCCAGGAGGTGGGAGGGTCTGGGAGGGAGGGTCTGGAATGTGTCTGCTGACTGTGAGGTACAGGGTCAAAGTTTACTCAATGATGAGTCCGCGGCAAACTGTTCGCGGCGAACCGTTCGGCAAACCATTCGGGACATCACTAATTGTCAGTGAAAGTGACTTTTTTGCATTTTTCACACACAAACAGCACTTTCACTGATGATATCATTGTTGTAATACGTTTTACTGTTTTGAAACACTAATATTTGTGTTCAGTGAAGTGTCCCGAGTATAACAGTACCCCCCATGTACAGGTTTTATAGTATTTTTGAAAGTTACAGGGTCATATATAAGGCTGTTTTTTCACATTGAAATTTGCCAGATTTGTTATGTTGTTTTTGAGAGCGTACAGTAGCCCAGGAATGAGAATTACCCCCATGATGGCATACCATTTGCAAAAGAAGACAACCCAAGGTATTGCAAATGGGGTATGTTCGGTCTTTTTTAGTAGCTTAGTCACAAACACGCCAAAGTTAGCGTTTATAATAGTTTTTTTGCATTTTTTAACACACAAACAGATATAAATGCTAACTCTGGCCAGTTTATGTGACTGAGTGGCTAATAAGAAAGACTGGACATACTTCATATTGAATACCTTGGGTTGTCTACTTTTCAGAAATATATGGTTTGATGGGGGTAAATTACATTGACAGGCTTCAAAAATGTCTTAAATAGGACATGGGTGCATGATGACCAGCTGTGAAATTTCCAAGTTGGAAAACTGGAATGCGCAGCCTCCAAATAAGGTATTTTAGCCCCCATAAAACTCGACACACCTTTACATGGGTGGTATCACTGTACTCAGGAGATGTTGCTGAACACATATACATACATGTATTCTTAAATTGCTATGTGTTTCAAAAAAACCACCAATTATTATTTTTATTTTTTTAAATTTGGCATAAATTGGTGGTAAAATGGTTGCATGAAAAGAGTTAAAATACACCAAGTTTAATACCTTAGGTTGTCTTCTTTTAAAAAAAATATATACATGTGAAGGGTTATTCAGGGATTCCTGATAGATATCAGTGTTACAATGTAACTTACGTTAATTTTGAAAAAAAAAATGGTTTGGAAATAGCAAAGTGCTACTTGTACTTATAGCTCTATAACTTTCCAAAAAAAGCTAAGAACATGTTAACATTGGGTATTTCTAAACTCAGGATTTAAAAAATTTCTCAACATTTCTCAAAATTTAGAAACTATTTATCATGGGTGTTTTTTGGCGGTTGTAGATGCGTAACAGATTTTGGGGGTTAAAGTTTGAAAATGTGTGTTTTTTTTAAAAATGTCATCATATTTTATAATTTAGTAAATTAGATGATATGACAAAAATAATAGTATCTTTAGAAAGACCATTTAATGGCGAGAAAAACGGTATATAATAGGTGTGGGTACAGTAAATGAGTAAGAGGAAATTACAACTAAACACAAACACTGCAAAAATGTAAGAACAGCCATGGTCCCAAACGGTAAGAAAATGTAAAAACGGTCTGGTCACTAAGGGGTTAAACAGCAATTGGATAAATACTTCTAAAAATATAACATACATGGATATAATTTCTAATTAGTGGGGTAATAGCTGCTTGCTCCAAGGATATATCTAACTGCCATTTTGGGGTCAAGAAGGATTTTTTTCTGAGTTTGCTGCACAATTGGAAGTGCCTCAGATTGGGGGTTTATTTTTTGCCTTCTTTTGGATCAACAGCAAAAACATATGTGAGGAAGGCTGAACTTGATGGATGCAAGTCTCTTTTCAGCTATGTAACTATGTAACTATGATGATCTTATGACTCAGGCAAAATGATTTATTTGGATTGGTCCATCTGAGGAATAAAGTAGTAAACTATGTCTATGTTAGAAAGAGTACCACCAATATGTACCACAAAGCTTAATACTTATGATCCAAAATGGTAGAGTGTAACCATTTAAGAAAACCGAATTCCAAAGATAATGGACTTTGATGCAGCACCGTCTCTTGGTTAAGATTAATTATGAGCATTGACTCATATTTGCATATATATTTGCATATGTGTTAAAATGCAGACAACATGTTCTGGGATTTGGATTTTGAAAGTTTATCTGATGCTCCCTTATGTGACATATATGAATGTTGTTGTGCCTTTATGTTTTACTATGTGTTGAAGTTTTATGCACTATTTTGAATACCAAGACTTAAGTTTAACGTAGCACTGTTGAAGGTTGGTCCCAGTTTGAAAATAAAGAAACTGTCCAGTTCCTTTTAGAACAGTGTCTAAGTGTAGTCCTTCTCAGGAGCCCTGTAATAGAGTCTAAAATACATCTTTAAGAAGAAGCGAGTGCAACGCTTCTTGCCAGAGTGGACGGAGTGGGCACAGGGATCAATTCCTGCCTGGAAGACAGTTGGGGCAGGGGCGGAACTACCACGTTTGCAGTGGCGACGGGACCCGTCACTCCAGGGGGCCCGGCCAGCCTGTGGACCCCTGCGGCCGCGGTGTGTTGTGGCCCTGGGTGGCGTGATATAACCGCCGGGGCCGCACATTAAGAGGCCCATCGGCTGGCCCATGTGGTTAGGGACACCTAGTGGCTATGGATTTCCAGGTGGCCCGGTCAGAGCTGCGGAGCTTTAACAGTGCGACTGGGCCCCCTTTAATGAAATAATATATATATATATATATATATATATATATAGCCATATCTTATTTGAGTGCAGATGATGTGAAAAGGTAAAGTATGTAATAACACAATTCTATATCTTCTGTCTTTCATTATAGTTTTGATAGACTAGAGGTAGCTGATAGGATGTTCTAAAGCTGTTAGTAGACCTTGATACTGAGTCAGTCTGTGGGACAAATAATGTTCAATTATTATGCTATTGTTTTGGTGCTCAGAGTGTCACTTTAATGTTACCATCATGGTCATGCACAGACAATTGCATTCGTGTATGAATCCTGAAAATATTACCTATAAACAAACTATATTAAAAATTGGGGACAATGCACTCTGTTACTCTATAGATAAATGATGAATGCCTATGGTAACCACGTACTGCTCTTCTTCCAGCAACCCTGCAAGGGTTCAAGGTAATTTATTAGTTCAATTAAACAAGAACTTTTTTTAAGATCTAAGTTTGGTGTTGACTGGCAAATTAACTTTTGTGATTCTTGTGTTTTGTTGCAAGTTGTTCTAGCTGTTTGTTCTGCCCTGTTTATTATATTGACTAATCCACAACAACACAATGCACATACAAGACAACTGGCACGCCATATATCTAAGTACTTTTTTTATCTTTAGGTTTCACAGTAACGTCAAAGAAGCAGGTGCAAAGCGTATAAAAAAGAAACTAAAAAGACGAAAGTGTGGGCTCGTATTAATGTAAAGCAGCATGTTACTGAGTAAAAATGAAGTTAGACTAGCAGCAGGTAAAGCTGCTGTTTGAACAGCGTAGACATTGGTATTGTAAACTCATTGGGAAGACGCATGAAATAGGCATGAAAAACTGCCAAACTGTAAAACACATTCATACCGGGAAAATAAAATATTATATAAGAACTATTCCAATTTCCAAAAATTACACAGATAAAATTATAAAACTATTTTTTTTCCAGAGGGAAAAAAATATAAAATATATATATGTATATAAAAAATGGTTAAAAAAGAATTGCCTAAAGCAATGTGTTGAAAGAATATGTAAAATTAAAAAAAAAAAAAAAAAGCAATCTACGCTAATGATAACATTAGCATTACTGAAGCCTTCATAGTGAAGAAATCGCAGAAGCACTTTGCAGATATATAGCGCAGCATGTGTGTCGATGGGCAAGTTGCACTGTAAAAATTAATACACTATGTCAGTGATAAAAAAATCCATAGATTTGGGGGCTGTCATAATCTATATTGTAATGTTTTGCAATTATATCGAAATAAAAACAAAACATTCTACATCCAATGGCTTTGGGAATCAGCAAAAATGATTAAACTAATATAGAGAAAGTACAGACATAATGTTCATAATATAGATATAATGCGAAGGCTTGCTTTATGCTGCAGTTTTGAATAGTATAAAACTGTTAAAAACTTTTTTTTTCCAAAGAATAAAAACAGGTTTCAAATACTTAAAGGGCACTTGTCACACCCAAAACTAAGTTTTCTCTTTTAAAAGATTGTAACATTTCATGTCTGCATTGTAAGACCAGGTTTCCTAGCAAATGTATAGATTGGGAGAAAGACCTATTTACAAATAACCAATTCTTCAATATAGACTCTTTGCCAAAGAATTGATTGAGAGGGAGAGCAGTTATGACCTCCCAGAGGTGGTCCTTCTGCTGTCCACACATTGCAACCAAAGAGCATGCTACGGTAACTTCCTAGCAGCTGGCTAGGAAGTAAAGGAACGGAGTGAGTAGATTCACTCTATTCAGATACCGGTATGCTGGCAACAAAGCCAGTGTGTCGGTATCATGGAGGAGGCTTGCTGCAGGTGGAGCGAGTGTGGGCTGGAAGTGGATGTAGCAGACGTGTAACACCCACCTCTGTAAGAAGATTGCAATGGGGGAGTAAAGGGTAGGGTAACTTGTGGGAGATTCCCTTTAACTTGATTGTACATAATACAGATTAAGGAACAGCACACATAAAATAAATTTTTAAAATCTTATAAAGCTACTTAAAATCACCTATCTCAACACACAAATATGAGGATTAAGTTCCACCATATGGCTATGTTGTGTTAAGCCCACAACTACATCACAATATCCCAATATTGGTGGGTCCTACAATAATTCCAACACCGGAGACAAATTAAATAGTGTGAATATATATAATAGAAAAACATTTTACTAATCACAATTCAAAAAAATGCAGTGTCAAAACTAAACAATTAAAGAGATAGTGCTGTGATGTATATCAGATGGCCTCACATTTAAATCTAGAAAACTTTGGTATACTTAGGAGTTCATGGTTGACTCAATGACTGGTCTACTTGCCAGGTTCTATGGATGCAAAACAAGTTTAAATCATCACCCAACCGCCAC